GGTTACTTTGACAGACTGGACACCACCTCCCCACAGTGAGCTCTCAACCCATTTCCTCCTTCATTCTGTTGTCTCCACAGTCCCATACTAATTTCTGTCCAACAGCTGGCTTTGGTGACAACCTTCCCGATCACAAGCTGTAAAAACCAAACTAGGGAGTTAAATCGTTTTCAGAGATCTGTTCTGTCATGAAAGCGATTACAAACAACTCTCAACCCCTTTCCCTAAAGAAGTGATGAGGTGAATTCTGGCTGGAACAAAATCAGAAAACCTGGAGAGAACACCTATGTCACCCACCTGCCCCCTGCCATGTGATTACAGCACAGTCCAGTTGCTTGTAAGGACACAGAGCAACGTGGCCCACCGTTGGGTGCAAGAGTTCCTTTCTGACTGATCTCTGGGAATCTCACTGACTGAGGAAACACATCCTCATTTTCAATCAACCAGGGGCCAGGACATCTCCAAGATAAAAAAAATAAATAAACACCTCATGTAATTTTAGGCTGCATTTACATAAGCATTATTCCCTCTCTACACTGGAGTTTGGTCCCTAGTGACCCCGGGGTTGGAGGCGTTGGGGGAGAGGGGTCATACCAGTTGCTACCTGCCCACCCGGTAAAGGCAATAGGAGGCTGGAGCACTGGAGACTGGAGACATTTCTTATAAGGATGTTTACGCCATCAAGGATGGTGGAGTTGGGATGGAGAATAAACAGAGGTACAAAAGACAGGATGAGGAGAGTGGATAATGGGAATCCTAGATAATGTCACAGGTGACTGGTATGAGGTTCAAAGGAGCAGAGGTTTTATTGTTGTTGCTCATTTAGATTTATCTAAGGTTTTTTTCCTCCCAGGACCAATATCCAAATCATTTTTTTTAAAAAGGTAATTGAGAAATAGTTTGACAACTTGTCCTGTTCCAGAGATCTAATGTAAAGCAATGGTGGTGATAGTTAGCAATACTGTTTTGTATAGTTGTAAATTTCTGGGAGGGTAGCTCTTAAATCTTATCACACACACACCCCAATGGTAACCATGTACAGGTAATGGATATGTTAACTAGCTTGACTGTGGTGACCCTTTCATAATGTGTATGTGTATCAAAATAACAAGTGCATACCTCAAATATACATAATTTTTATGTCAATGATATCTCAAGAAAACTGCTAAAAATAAGTATGGCCTGTAGGAAAATGGCTTTCAGAGACGCGTCAAACAATGAATCTGAAAAGATGGGCTGACACTGGAGGGCTTTGTGTGGGGTGCATGATCATAAATACATACATGTGGCCAAGATCAAAAAGTGCGGAAGGTCCCAAATGACAGTATCTGGAGTTCGGCTCTCCAGATCTACAAAGAGTGACATCTGCTCCTGAAACTAAGGGCATTTGACCTGAGGAAAATTATTCTCCAAATCTTTGTGCACGTGTCTTCAAGAAATGAATAACCTTCATATAGCAAGGGCTTTAACAGTTTTCTCTTGAACATATAAAATGAAAATGTCTATATTATAGGATAAAATTTACTGTTGTGTCTCCATTTAGCATGAGAGACTCAAAAGGTCTGGCAAAGGACACACCTTTCTTCTTCCTAAGATTCAAGACTAGGACTACTTCCTGGCATCGTGACAATTTCTGTGAAGTGAGTCTCCTACGCTGGCCCAAACGTGGACAAAGTGAACAACAGGAAAGGGGTTCTCTCTGCTATGGAGGAACACAGCATTTCTCTTTTGATTTATTTGCATGGACAAAAAAGCATCTTTGTGATTCCTATTAAACTGTGTGACAGATACTCATAAAATAAACTAAGGACTGGAAAATATCCAGGAAGAGGGTTCACTCAGTGCAAGCTGGGCTTTCTGAGGAGCGATCAACTCCTGCCATTACTTTGTACTCCGTTGTTAGTTCCCCAAACCCACAGAATGCCCTCGAGGGCTACATTCATGGGCTTCCTAGGAGCTCGCCCAGGCACATTTCATTGGACAAACATACATTACTTCTGCATTACCCAGGTCCTTTCCAGACTTAAAGTAGGGATGCCCCCTGTCTTCGTAAAAATGGTTTTTACTGAGAGTCACACTTACTATGCTTTTGTTTTTAAACTTAGTAGATGGCATCAATTGATTAGCTGGAACAATGGGCTGGAATTATCAATTTAAAATGACAATAGCATTTCAGGAAAACTGATTGTGACAGAACTAGTCTAGGCACAATTGGAAAGTATACATGTAGAAAATGTAAATTCAGCCCTTTCTTCATTTTCTTTCTTGTTTTCTTTTCTCAACTCTGAAGTCCCAAGACCCGAGGGTCCCGACAGCCTTTGAGAATTAACTCTATGCTCTCAACCAGTAATTTTTTTCCCTCAGCTTGCTCACCCTTCCAAACTCTTAGTGCATTTGTGCCTCTTTCTCATTCACTGTTATAGATAAAATCTTCCTGACTAATGCTGATTATGTAACAGAAAAGGCTTTCAAACTAAAGGTTAAATTGTGGGGGGCTGGAATTATCAATTTAAAATGACAATAGCATTTCAGGAAAACTGATTGTGACAGAACTAGTCTAGGCACAATTGGAAAGTATACATGTAGAAAATGTAAATTCAGCCCTTTCTTCATTTTCTTTCTTGTTTTCTTTTCTCAACTCTGAAGTCCCAAGACCCGAGGGTCCCGACAGCCTTTGAGAATTAACTCTATGCTCTCAACCAGTAATTTTTTTCCCTCAGCTTGCTCACCCTTCCAAACTCTTAGTGCATTTGTGCCTCTTTCTCATTCACTGTTATAGATAAAATCTTCCTGACTAATGCTGATTATGTAACAGAAAAGGCTTTCAAACTAAAGGTTAAATTGTGGGATAAGGGGATAGGAGAGGAAATTTGTGAGACTGTACCTTTAAGTCAGTGTTGTTCAAACAGTAGCAGGCATCTGGATCGCCTGCAGAACTGGTTTACAACACAGACCCTGGGCTCCTCCCCAGAGTTTCTGATCCAGCAGGTCTGGGTTGAGGCCTAAGATTCTGTTTCTAACAAGCATCCCAGTGATGTTGATGTGGCTGTTGGTCCAGGGACCATACCCTAGGAACCAGTTCTTTAAGTCAAACCACCCAAGTGCCTGCCTGATTTGTCTTGGCATCCAAATGTCAGAGTGAGCAAGACTCTGACACATTCTATCCAAACCTCCTGCTCCAAATTCGGGGTTTTATTCTTCATTCATTGTGAGAGTTAGAAGCTGCTATTGGGAGAATAGTATACGATTTAGAATGAGATTTGTATTTGTTGTGTGCTTTGAAAGTTTCTGGAAATTTCTTTAAAATCTGAGCCTTTTGTATGATAAAAAATGGAACAATAAATCTAATCCTTCGAATTCATTGTGGGGCTCAAAACACATGTGAAGCTGCCTGGTAAACGATCAAGTGCTCTACAAATGATATGATTGTTCCACAGTAAGCGGTTTCTCCAAGGTAGCTATTGAAAATGAAATGATGTTGGACCACATCCTGTTTTTAGAAAAACATCTTGCTTTTAGAAAAGTAGGGTAACCTGTGTTTCCTGGGCCTCCAACGAAGCTAGTTTCCTCAAAACTCTCCTGTCACAGGAAAAAGAAATACTGCACTAAGCTTTGACATGAGTCTTTTTTATGCCCTGGAAAGCCACACACACAGTGCAGATCTGTGTAGAACAAGGGGAAATTTTCTGGCATCCTACATATTCCAAGAGCAATCCTGGTCCATGTTGTGGAAAACCCCTAAGAACACCACCTGTGCAATTTTCCTTAGCACCAACACATTCAGAAAGCTCCAGAATAGAGCTACACAAACATGATTCATTGACCCCATTCCATTTTTTACCCCTCATCTTTTACATGGCACTTAATAATTAGGAAAAAAACATATCTCCTGTGACTACAACACATACACTGCTATGCATTCCATTTGTTAGACCTAAATCTCATTGTTAAAACCTCAATGCCTGCAACCCTGGAAAATATGCAGCTCTCGAAGTACACCATCCCAGATGTAGAAACAGCTGGGAGGAGCCATTATTCCTTCCCCCTAACATTCTCACATCCAGAGCTAAGGCAGAAACAAACCTGTCTCTGCAGGGGACAATTCCAACCCCTCGGAGTCATTCCTTGCTGGCAGGAGCCCTTGGAGAAGGCATAAGAGGTGCACAGCACAGGCTGGTGGTCTCTTCTCAGTTGTGAGGTCACTAACACCCAGACTGTCTCTTTCCCCAACATAAGGGCAAGTGAACACTCAGGCGCTGAACAAAGGGACACAATTCCATACAAGGCTGAAAAGAACTGAGGTGGAGCAGGAAACTGGACTTGGCCCCATCCACCTGTTGACACCAAATGAGATTATACAACTCCACACACATAAGGAAAGCTCAGAAAATAAGGAAGGGGAGAGCTATAATCTCACTTCCAGGGTTCTTCCCACTGCTCAACACCTCACCCTCTGGATTCCCATGCTGCAGCTCTAACAGTGTCTTCTCCCATCACTGTGGGCAACCCAAAGCCTCTGGGGCCAATAGAGGGTGTCCAAGACTGCAGTCACCTAGATAGCTCTGCGGGCCCCATCCCTTCTGGCTTTGTTTTTTTCCCAGAAACACCAGTTTATTGGACAATTGCAGGTTCTTTCCTAGTAGATACAGCCCCGTTGCTTTATTCAGGTATTTGTACATTTCAGCTAGGTAGGGGGGAGGGGAGTGATACACAATGAAAGACACACATATTGGGGAAAAATGTACTTATAAACTGTTTATTTCTTTTTTGGTTAAAGAAAAAAACTTCATAAACAATATCCCACTCATAAGTAAAAATGAGATAAAAAACTGACTGCTGTTAATCCAGGTTTATGTGTATCTTCTCATCTGTACAGTTTATTTGGGTTCTGCTACTGTCCACCAATAAAAGCACTCAGAGTAAACACAAATATCAAGAAAGAAAACGTTTTTAACAGGAGGAAGTTCAAGATTGCAGCTCAAGGAGGCAGCAGTGGCCCGTCAATAGAAGCAGATGGTGTGCAGGAAGGTCTGGCCACTATTTACCTCGAACTCCAGTAGCACTTCCCCGATCTCCTTTTCCACGTCATCCATAAGCTGAACGCATTGGCAGAGCTCCGAAAACAGGAACGCCCCCAGGCTGGCCTCTTCGAAGTTGTCTCTAATGTTCAAGTTAACCACGTGCACCATCTGGAAGGTCACCTGTTTCCTGGAATTAAGCTCTTCCACCACCTGGTTGTACACTCGCTCTTCACAGGTGAGGATCAGGTCGAATACATCTTTGCAATCCTGGAACCTTTCAGGCCCTGGCTTGATTTCTCTATTTCTCTGCAACATGTGCAAAACACCATTCTTCGTGTAGAGCTCTTTGTCCTTCCGAACAAGATCTCTGTATATTTCATCATACGTGGTGTTGAAATCATAAACATTGGGCTGGTCGGCTGTTGGTCCTGGAAGCTTCACATGAGTCCCTGTTCCAAAGGACCGGACACTGAATCCCTTCCTGCTGAGGAGATGGTGGGCTTCCATGCTCCGATTTTGGTTGCTGGAACACACTACTGCCACACGCAGGGGTGCCGACGCCATGGTGAGGGTTCCCGCCCAGTCACCACTCTCCGGCTCCTGGCTCCCGGCTCCCGGCTCCCGGCTCCCGGCTCCCAGCTCCCCGTGCCTGGCTCGGCTCCCGGCTCTCAGCTCTCGGCTCCGGCACCCGGCTCTCGGCTCCTAGAAATGGGTCTCAGTTTCTAGTAACGGCTCCCGGTTCCGGCTCCCGGTTCCAGCTCCCGCCTCCCAGCTCCCGCCTCCCAGCTCCCAGTAATGGCTCCCAAATCCCGACTCCCAACTCCCGGCTCCTGGCTCCCAGATCCCGACTCCCGGCTCCTGGCTCCCAGATCCCGGCTCCCAGATCCCGGCTCCCGGCTCCCGGCTCCCAGATCCCGGCTCCCAGAACCCGGCTCCCAGAACCTGGCTCCCAGATCCCGGCTCCCGAACGAACGCTCACCCTGCAGAGGTGCTTCCACACCAGCAAAATGGCAGCAGCCACTCCCCAAAGTTATGACGTACAAGAGGCGCGCTGAGTCGTATGGTGTGGGGACGCCCAGCGAGGCCACACACAGTGGACAGCCATGCGCACAATGTGCAGGCCACCCCTCCACGCATGCGGAGATCCCCAGACACCGGCCAATGTAAGCCCACCTCACAGATCCAGGAAACGCATGCGCACCACTGCTCTGGGAGCACACTTGGTGGCTGTGGGTGTGAGGGCAAGGCCGGTATTACTCGCAGGGGCTGCCCGTTCTCAACCTGGGTTTTCTTTATTGATTCTTCCCTCTCTCTGATGAATTTCTTGTGCGTTTTAGAGTTTTCCTCTCTACCCCTGTCACTACCACCTCTATTTGCAAATTCATTTGCATATTCTTTCTGGTTATGACACGCCATTAAAAGATACGGGAGGAACGTAAGAGTAAGAGACATGAGATCTTTACATCTTGAGTTCATTCATTAAGTTGATCATAGAAAAGATAAAATGGAATAAGCGTCACTAAGAGACTCACTTAAAAGACAGTTGTGAGGCCAGTGAGGATGTGGAATTTATGCACATCTCGTCTCAGACCTTGGAACTCATGTTAGCTTGCTGACCTGTTCCTACACTGAGCTCAAGGCTACCCACCAACATCCTGGATCAATGATTGCTGCACGAACATGCATGGACTTGACTTCCTCCTCCTCACCAAGGTAAGCAGGCCATCTGCATCTTTCGTCTTGAAAGGAGCCAATCAGTTTCAAAAACCAAATCCTCCATTTTCAGGATGAGCCTCACCAATCCCGGTGGACCTGGACAAGTCCTTCATTCACAGGGAGGACTGAAATGAGAACAGCCCATTAAGTTGTGCCCTTTATAAACCCTGTTTTTCTTTATCCCCTCTGGAGCACAGTTTAGCTTGCTACCTGAATCTTTGCCCCAGATTGCAGTCCCTCCTTTGTTCAAATAAACACTTTTTATTTTTTATTGCAGCCTATAACTTATTATTATTATTTGGTTAAAAATGTCAACAAATTGTGTGTGTCTACTATGTAAAAGCCACCCTTCTAGGTGCTGGGAGTACATCACAACAAAAGAGGGGAAATAAACAATGCCCCTGCCCCGCCCCCAAATCCAAACTCCTGTCCTATCAGAGTTTATAGTCTAATGTATGTATAATCTGGAATTAAACCCAATTTTCAAATCCTTCCTTTACTGCAAAGTATAAGAGTGAAATGTGTATATTTTCAAGAGGAATCAATTCTAATTGAGCCAGTATTTTTCAAGTGCCTTCCAAGGATCACCTTCATCAGCATCCCTGAACATACTAGTCAAAACAAAGATAAATCTGCTGGCTCCACAGCAGACCCACTCACTTAAACTCTATGAGGGTGGGTGCAGAAACATTAACATTCTTAGCATGAATATTCCCCAACCTTTGAGAAGATTTGTCAGACTAAATGTATTGAGCTCAAATACTGGAGAATTAGGATCTTTTGTGCAAATGAATGTTTGAGATCTGCTGCCCTAACAAAGAAATAACCTCAGATGGTGGAGTTTCAGGCACCAGCTATAGTCATGTTTCCTAAACTTCCCAATAAAATCACCCAGGGGCCCCTGTTAATATTGGCACTCCTTAGGTCCGTTTCATACAGATTCTGATCCATTAGGTTTGAAGTGGGACCACAGGTGATTTCTTGTTTAAGAAATACAGAGCTTTAAACAGAAGTACAAATAAGGGACAGAAGAAATATCCCATGCTCAGGCAAAGCTATCCAGGGCTGATATATTAGTCTCTCTTATTTTCTCCTCAATTTAGCGACTTTTTTTCTAACATAGATTTGTCCCCACTTGCCTCTCCATTTTCTTTCTTTGCTGAGTCTTTCAAGCTTGGTTATGTGAGCTCTGGGTATGAAGGGACAAGTTTTCATTATAAGATTCTTCATGAGATTTTCAAAGGTAAGGGACTAATCTTGTCAATCCAGAATTCACCTAGAGCATCCCCCTAGTAGGTACCCAATACAGATTTACCCAGCACTAACCTGGCTAATACTATTCTAAAGGATTATAAGGTGTTTGGATCTAATTTAGACCATATCTTGCAATCCTCCTCTGGCCCTGCAGTCAACTTTTCACCCTTCAGTAAATGAGGCACCAAGTGTCAGTTCCTTTGCAGAACACCCTGTAACACCTATTGATTCTCCCAAATGTCTCCTCTGCTCCTCTAACCCAATAGACAAGGACAGATTAGATCAAGGTAGGCTGACAAATGGAGATCAGAGTCCCTCTTGAAAGAGATGACAACTTTAAATTTTTCTGGCTGTTGCATTAAGCTAGTTGTGGCAGCATTGCTGTAGCATTTTAGTATTAAAAGTATAGTTGCAAGCAAATGCATTCATTTTTAATTTTTTGATATTTAAAAATGTCAATAACCATGCACCTTTCCTCTTTATCAGTAGAGCAAACTGAGGTTGGAATTATATATCCAAGAAAAATTGGGAGAAAAGTTAAAAGATTAAAGACTGAAACATGTCAAGCAACTTTAACAGGGGTAAATACAAAAGCAATGTATCTTGAGGATATCTTTTATGAAAACCTCTCACAACTTTTCTGTGCAGAAACCATGGTTGAGCAGAGTGAGAGAAGAGAGAGCTCAGATAATAAGACAGGAAAGTTTGGCAGTTGGAGATAGCAGTAAGAGAATAGGCTTTAGAGGTAGTCAGACCCATGAGAGAATACAGGGTCTCATATGGAATGACTATGTGATCTTGGGCAAGTCACCAGCATCTCAAACATTAACAAAATTATCCCCCATCTTTTTTAGTAAACATTTGTGAAGATAAATAGGTATTCATTTTTCTTCCCTTTTAAATGAAGTCACATCAGATGAAAATTTGAAAAAGGAATAATACAGAACAGGTATCATGAGTTATAAACCTGTCCACTGGGACAGAAAATACAATTCATGTCAGTAATTAACAATGGTTTCAGCTAGAAAAGTAAATGAATTCTTATCACAGTTGAAACTCACTCAGCTATTGATGTTATCATATATTAAAACAAGAAAAAAATAAAAGAAACAAGCAAAAAAAAAAATCTAATACACGAGATATTTCTAAATAGGTTCTTTGACATTGCATTTGGAATTTGAATTTAATTGGCATTCATCTCATGATTATGCCTTTTGGAAAATGGGGTTGACATTTCAATAAATTTTGAATAGCCTTAAAGTATGATTTCTTATAGACTCTGAGAAATTCATTAATCACTACTCTCAAGGACTCTGTGCCTTTGAGTAGACTTCCCTACCCTTTTCACACACAAAAAGTCATTGATATGTCCAAGGGCATAATATATTTAGATGTAGGGTTGGCAAAAACAAAACAAAATAAAACAAAACAAACAAAAATTGGTAAATCTCATCTTATGCCCCAAATTCAACTTGATAGTTTGGTTTATGTGGGTAGGTGTGGACAGTTAACAAAGGATTTGCTAGGAACCACACAGGAAATCTGTTTTCGTCCAATAATCTATTCCTGGATAAATTATACGACAAAAAAGTAACAACGTATTCTATACCACTTTCTTCTTTTCTATTTTATCCAACATATTGGGAATATAAAGCACAAACAAGAGTGAATGCTTATTTGCAAAGATGAATACTTTCAAATGAGTTGGGACACAGGCTTCAAAAAACTCACATAAATTCAGAGTTCATAACTTGAACTTGAATGAATGCTTAGTCCTTGATTCTCTTTGGTTACTGTGATATATATTCCATTTTCACATGTAAAATGGATCATAAACAAGGATAGTCGATTTGTTATAAAGAACATTCATCTTATGCAAAAAGGCCATTGCCATTTGGAAGACTATGTATATGAATATGAAGTCAAAGCATGCATCTACCAAGGTAAAAGTGTCACCAATTCCAATGTGGGGGAATGTGGGAGATTTTCCCATACCAACATGTATTCTCCAGATACCAGATGGGTGTCGTACAATTCAGCTCAATTCTGACACTACTCTTCTGGGATAGTGTCACATCCCATAGGCCAAGAGTTCGGTTCTACGACACTACCCTCTTCTCCACTTCAAACACTAGTAGCAAGTCCAGGTTGTCACCTGCACTACTGACCAAACTGCTATAGATCTGAGGTTCTCATAACACCCTCATTGGGTTCAATTAATTTGCTAGAGCAGCTCACAGAACTCAGAGAAACATTTCACTTACTAGATCACTGGTTTATTATAAAAGGATATAACTCAGGAACAACTAGATGGAAGAGATGCACAGGGCAAGGTATGGCGAAAGGACTCAAAGCTTCCCTGCCCTCTCCAGATGTGACCCTCTCCCAAGTCTATGTATGTTCATTCGCCAGCCTAGAAGCTCTTTGAAACCCATCCTTTTGGGTTGTTATGGTAGCTTCATTAAATAGGCATAATGATTAAACCATTAGCCTTTGGTGATTGATTCAAACTCCAATCCCTCCATCCCCACCCCAGGGGTTAAGTAAAGGAGACTGAAAGTTCCAACCCTCTAAAGCATAGTTGGTTCTCCAGACAACCAGCCCCCATCCTTTGGTGCTTAACAAAAGTTATTCCTTGACATAAAAAAAGACACCGTTGCTGTTCTAATCACTTAGGAATTCCAACTGTTTTAGGAGCCCTGTGCCATAAATGGGGATAAAGATCAAATACATATTTCTTATTATAAATCACATCACACACATCTATACCAATTTATAAATTTATCCAAATATATTTTTTATATATCTATACATACACATGGTCTCTTGCTTTTCTTACCCTCTCTTGCTCTTAGAAATGTTACAGAAAGAGAGAGAGAAAACAGGCCCAAAAAGAAATGACTTGTGCTAAGCTCCACCAAGATTTAATACCTAACATAATTGCAGCTTCAGCTTTTCCCAGGAATGTGACCTTTAAATGACCAGTCAATGCGCAATTTCCTGCCAGCAGTAGGAGGCCATCCTAAACCCCTTCTGGTCCCCTTACCACCAAAGAAACCTTGCCTTAAACAATGCATTCGTGGCTAATCATTCCCTTTGTTCCACTCTCTCTGTGCCTTTAAAAAAATCTTTCTTTTTTGGCAGCTCCATGGAGCCCCTTTCTATTGCTAGATGGGATGCAGCCTAATTCATGAAGTATTAGATAAAATTCAATTTTATCTTTAAATTTACTCAGTTGAAATTTTGTTATTTCACAAAAATATTCTATTAGCTGAGGAATAAGCATTTTCCCTCCCATAATTTCAACTTTATTTTCCTTCTACCATCTAAAGCAAATATCAATATACCGTCTTCTCTTCTAGTTAAGTAGAAATGGAAACCATGTAACTTTTTATGATCATGTTTGCTTGATATTGATTTTATCATATTTTTCTAGAAGATACTCTATTTGTTTCTGGAATTCCAATTCCTTTTCTGTCCTCTTTTGATTCATTGAATTGAATATTATTAAATTTGTAGTATTCAAATAGATAAAAGGACATAAAATGTAGTTCTGTGCTATATATTTATCATTTTCCTTCTGCTGGATCTTTGCTTGTTTACTTTCTTCAAATATATACAACATACTGTTTTAGATTTCTATTGAATCTCAACCAAACACATCCATAAACATGTATATTATCTTTAACTTTTATAACAGTAGTATTACTTTTTTTTGTTGTTCAGAGTAAGATTTTAAAAATCAGGTTTACACCCTGGCTGGTGTGGCTCAGTAGTTTGAGCATCAGCATATAAACCAAAGGGTCACCAGTTTGGGTCCCAGTCAGGGCACATGCCTTGGTTGCAGGCCAGGTCCCCAGGAGGGGGTGCGTGAGAGTCAACCACACATTGATGTTTCTCTACCTCTCTCTCTCCCTCCCTTCCCCTCTCTAAAAATAAATACATAAAATCTTTTTAAAAAAATCAGGTTTACTTACTCATTGACTTACTTATTCACTTACTTATTCTCATCTACATTGTCTCTCTGATTTATAATTATGAAAACTGAAAACAAAGGCAAGCAGAATTAGTCACCCCAAAATATGTCTTTTTGTCATAAGGATAGTTTTAGGCTGATTATATAGATATTTTTTTTAAAAAGGCAGCAGAGACAGGACTGAATAGAAGTTATCCTTTTGTAAGGGACATTTACACGTATAAGGGAAATATCCACTTATAAAGATGTCTCCCTCCTCTGTTCCAGGAATTGAAGAATGACTAAATCTCTAAAAACCCTTAATAATAGAGAAGGCAATGACTTAAATATGCATAACAACTTCATCTTTATTTACTGTGCCTTTCCTGGAAAGCTTTCATTACTGGCTCCCCTTGCCCCAACAGCTTCCTTTGTCTTTAGCTGGAGAGAGTATTTAAGGAGGTGGCTTAGGCCATTTGGGGAATTACTCAGTTTTTCTGGGTCTCTTCCAAGTACACAGGAGTTATATATGTTATTAAATTTCTGTTTGTTTTTCTCCTGTTAATCTCTTTTATTATAGGGGGTCTGAGCCAAGAACCTAGAAGAGTAAAAGGAAAACTGTTTCTTCGCTCACAAAAACTACACAGTAAGATTTTGAAGCAGGATGTATATCAATCTAGTAAAGCAAACCAAAGAAGCAGCAAACCAGAGATCATGATATGTCTATGTTGTGCTCTATGCTAATTCTGGAATCAAAACATTCCAGCAGATTCCTAAAAAGATATTTAACTTTATAGTTAAATAAATAAAATATATTTTTTGTAATATAAAACTCACATCCATATGTCTTTTTTAATGTCTCTTAATTCTGTCTACATCTACGTCAATATTCCCTTTCTTAAAGTTCTAAAGGGTGCTATGGATGAAAAAGGGGTACTGCACTAATTCCAACCAGAAGTAATATTACAGGGTGATTTGATCATAAATAACCAACTGAACAGGGCATGGTGGGTAGTTGTGCCCAGGTATAACTCCTTTAGTAAAAGGTTTACCTTCACTTTAAGGAGGCCCTGTGCATTGCTTTTGTGCATCTAGGTTAATAATACCTTTGAAATGACTCTTTTTCAGACCTTTCAGGAAGCATAACCACGCTCAAGAGAGCACACAATCTTGTTAATGATCCTGTAATCCAGTATTTTCAATTAGTGTACACAAGAATTTTTAAAACGTACAATATCTTACTAGTCAGGGGCACTGACCTCTTTTTCCCTTAAACTGTCATATAAAAAAAAGACAACAGCCAACACAACAGCCTTCTGGTGTGAATGAATCAAAATTATACCTATTTTCTGTCATATTGGCAGAAATAAATATTTTTGGTGTGCCACAGAATTTTAGTAATTAATTTATGTATGCCATGAGATGAAAAAGGTTGAAAATTGCCACTGTAATCCAATCCCTACCTTATTTTCTTTCACTTGCATGTAATCTTCCTTATGTTCCCTCCTTCATTCCAAATGCACAAAAGAAGCTGCAAACTGTCATTCTGGGAAGCATTTTTCTTAGTCTGTTGAATCTTGCTTCCAGGTATAGCCTCTGTTTGGCTCAAGTAAACTCTAATGAACGTAAACAATTTTTCTGCAGGTTTGGCATTCTCATGTCGACCATGCTAACTGAAGGAATGAGATCCCAGAAAATAGAGATCGACTGGGAACATCTAGCATGGAGCCTGCCTCCTAGTTTTTCCCAGTGCTGTTGGCTCTTCCTCTTCACTTTACTAGCAAAATAACTATCTAGCAACTTTCATCCTCTTAACATCAGGCAAAGGTTGCAGATTTTAACCCAGAAAATGACCTACAAGCTAAAAATAATTTCTTTGAAAAACACCTCTCTGTTAATTAGTTTGGAATTATTTTTTAAACCCTCAGTCCATCTTAGCATCACTTGACCATCAGCTACTGAAGCTGAAGAAGCTATTTATTCTTTAAAATTATATTTTTGTTGGACATTAAAAGCTGTCCTCTTTCTCTTAAGTGTCTTAGACTTTTTCAATCTATATTTTTATCATTTGTTAAAAGGACAAATAACCCAATAGTAGATATAAAGACATAAATAGGTATTTCATAGAGGAGGGAGTACATATTATAGAAAAACTGTAGAAAAGTGGTCAGCCACTTTAGTGAGCAAGGAAATGCAAATCAATGCCAGAAATGAGATGCCATTTCAAGCCCCTTTTCTTGGTGAAAGTAAGAAATCTGATAATACCAAGTGTTGAAGCAGACTGGATTACTATGATCTTTCAGACATTGCTGGAAGAAGTATTAATTACTGCAATCACTTTGGAAAACCATCGGCAATATCTTGCAAAGATAAACATTCATACATCCTATAACCCAGCAATTTCCCTGTTAATCATATATGAAAAAGAAACTTTAGCACACATCTACCATCACTCCTACCAGCACCATGCCATATGTACAGTAATGTTCACAGAATCTCTTATACAGTAGTAAAATCCCGAAAACAACTCCAGCATGAGAATGGATCAATAGTAACATAAACATGACTGAACAGCAGTTGTATGCAATAATAAGGATGAATGTTAGCAGTACAATTTTGAAAAAAAATCCTTAAGTGTCATGTTACTAAGTAATATCTTGGTATAATAACTGATTTGCCTGTCATCCCTGACAATTCCTTTTATTTGAACCATAAAATCCTTCCCCATTAATACAAGGGGGTTGAAGCATTCCACACTTCTTGTCCCAGAGAATCAGAACATACTGTAAAATGCCGAGGAAAAGATTAAAATGGTTGTCATGCCATCATTTGGTTTTGAATATCAAAAGCGAATTTCTAAAAGAATGAAGAAATACATTTCGTACTTACCTAGCAGGGCAGATATCATCACATGGGCGGTTTTCCCAGGATGAGGCTTATCCATTTCACTCAGGATGTGCTGACCCATGTGATTTCCCCAAATGATTTCCCCTTGATTGCATACTTTCTGGTAGTAGGGGACTGCGTTCATGTTCTCCCCTGCACACAAAAAAAGTGCATTTTTGGCTTAAATGATAGTTTGGATAAAGATGAAGATTATGCAAAACATCATCAACCACAATGAAAGCTTACACTTAATGGTGACTAGCTAAAATTATTCCTTTTAAAATGAGGAACAGAAAAGCATGTCCATGATCACTATTATATTTCAGTATTGTGTTTGCAGTTCTGGCAATTGCAAAGACAAGAAAGAAGTGTAAAGGTGGGAAAAAAAGCTGACTTTTCCGCATCAGATGCGATCGTCTATACGTTGGGATGAAGTCGCCGCCAGCTTGTGTTACCTGCTGGAGACACCATCCCTGCCAATCCATATGGAACAATTGGCATGCACTCTATTTGCTTTCAAATACCTATTACAAACTATTTCAGGCATATAAGATTATAGATAATGTACTTTTGTGGTTTTGAGCCACTGAAATGTGGGGGTTGTTTGTTGCTAACTTGTCTAAACTGATACAAGTGTCTTCAATTCGATCCTTACTGCTTCCTATCTAAATTGGGTAAAGGTACATTGCCTATAATCTTATATGCCTGAAATACTTTGTAATGGTTATTTGAAAGCAAATAGAATGCAAAAAAAAAAAATACCAATTTCCCTAACCTATAGACTAGACAAAGTTATTTCAGTTTAGGTAAGAGTCAGAGAAGGCTATAGTAATGTGAGACAGCATGGATCTCTTAGTAGGGGTTCTGAGATTTCCCCTCTTCCTTCTCAGGGGACAAACAGTGTAGTTTAAAAAAAGACTGGTTTAAAAGACTCGGAAAATAGATAGCACACAGAGGAAAAATGGCAGCTGAAAGGTCTGGATTGTATCTCTCTCACGGGTAGTATGTGCAAGTTTCCCTAGCTTTGCCTTCTTGCCCAATAAGGGGGTTAAGAAGGACTGAGAGATGCTGATGGTCTGTTTAGGATCTCACAACCAAGAGAAAGAGGACACAGAGTGGGTGGATGGACTTACAGAGCCTGAAGACCATGGCAGCCTGAGAGTCAGGTGCCCCTCAGAGACATCTGCACAGAGCTCTGCTGACCATCCGGATTCAGGAGTTTTCTAAACTGGCATTATTCTACATGAGCCCTTGAACATATTAGCTATCCAAAGAGAAAGGAGGGACATGCAAAAAACCTTAATCGTCTGATAAAAATTTGATTCGACTAAAAAGATTTTATACTGGTGATGACAGAATTAAATATTTTACCTTCACGCTGAATTGGGACTCAAAACGAAGGCCAAATATTTACAAAGTTAAAAGTAAGTACAACTATTTGCTGACCTGCATTTTTGGCAGATCAAATACTCCCTCGAAGAGCTGGTTGGATGTGGTTAGTAAATTGACGTACTGAGAAAGCAAACTCTGGGGAATGGATTATACTTGGGTCAGGAAACAATCAGGAATACAATTTCCCAACATGGTTAATTCAAGATGCCTAATAAACACCAAAGCAGAGGAAGATTGGTATCAGTAAGAGAGATTTGGGGGTAGACATGCACTTTTGGGGGTTTTCAGATATAGATGGGTATTTAAAGTTAAGGGTCTAGAAATTAGATTACATGAGAGAGTAAATATAGATCAAGAAGAGAACATATATGAGATGTGAACTCTAAGGCATTCCAACATTTAGAGATTAATAAGAGGTTGTTATTCCAACAAAGAAGACAAAAACAGCTGCAAATGAATTAGCGCCATAAAACAGTACAGGGTGGTGTCTTGGGTGCCAAGTAAAGTTTCAAGCAGGAGGTGATCAACAGTATCAATTATTATGAGACAGGAACAATGGGAACTGAATAACAGCCATTGGATTTGGTGATGTGGACATGATACTTGACTTTACAAGTACAATTTTGTTGACTGTTGCAAGTGAGAGAATTGTACAACCATCCAAATAGGGGGCAGATGCTCTGACTATTTTTATGTGGCCTTTCCAAAAAAGTTTTGTTGATGGCACATAAGAAGCTCCTTGGTAAACATGTTACTCATTCAAATATGTCTGGAAACACTGCATTCCACATTTTACCTTGGACAGTCATGAAGAAAAGGAGCAAATTAAAAGACTTAACAAATAAAAAATCTGTTTATATTTTTTCCACTTACAAATTCCTGAATTTACGTCCTATAAAATGCACACATGTGGGTGCATGCGTATGTGTGTGCATATGTGTGTAAGGCCCACAATCTCTTACCTGAAACTTCTTTTGTTCAGATGTAATTTGAAAACCAAAACATTTTAGACTTCAGAAAGATAAGGAACCAATAGCGTATGTTTTATGTAATTCTGCCAGCAGGGAATCAAACACATGAACACTTTTGCAGTTTGTTATAAAACTTTCACTCCATGATAAATAGACTATATATAGCCTCACACTCCTTTACGTTTAGATGCCAAAGAATTGTGTGTCAAGATTTCTAGGAAAATAATTTCAGTTTTAGAAGTCTCAGGGTTTCAGAGTTGTGGGTTTATATTAGGATGCAGTGGAAATGTTTTCTAGAACAAAGTTTGTACAGCACTGATGTATGACCTTGAGTTGAAGTTCAAGAATGAATATTAACCTTTGGAGTAAAATATACATATGGGTATTTGCTGAGTACACTTTAACTGCAGAAAAGAATATTTGACCTAAGCAACATACAGATACATGCCATAAGAAAATAAATAGGTACATGCTTTATAATTTCAAAATGTTATATGAATGTAAAGATGATCTAAAAATCATATAAAATACACTGTTTTGGGGTGCTTTAAAAATGAGAAGAATAGCCCTGGCTGGTGTGACTCATTTTTTAATTAATCAAAATGTATTAATTCATTTTGCATTTTAAGTAATAAATTTAAGTAAATAAACTCTAAAATTTATTGAAAAGTCAATAAATTTTGAATGAATCAGTGGACTGAGTGCTGGCCTGCTAACCAAAGGGTTGCCGGTTCGATTCCCAGTCAGGGCACATGCGTGGGTTGCACGCCAGACCCCCAGTGAGAGGTACGCGAGAGGCAACTGCACATTGATGTTTCTCTTTCTGTATTTTTCCCTCCCTTTCCCTCCTTCTAAAAATAAATAAATAAAATCTTTTAAAAATGAAAACAATAGTTAAAATAAAAATATTACTAAAATTTTTGAAAGGGAAGATGAAGGAAGTGGATGGAGAGAAAGAGGTTCTCCCTGAAGCCCTCAGTAAAATAAAGACAAATTTACAAATAATTATTAAATGTTTATTTATTGCAATACTATATTTAGAGTTACATGAGATTTCTACCCCCTCCCCCAAATCCCCCCAAAATTGCTATGGCTCCTTTGGAGACTGTAGCTAATGGAATGTTCATTATCATATAAATTGATCAAACTAGAGCTCTACAGAGCCCAATTGTTAGAAAAAAATATGGTCATAGGAAAGCCAGTGCCCATCTGTTTATATAAGTTATGCTTTTAGGCTATGCATGCCATTCAAGTAAATCAGTTATAAAGAAAAGCTAAAATAACCTGTTCTTGTACTTCCAAACTGTTTTTCCAGCTTCTATAAGTGATTTTCCACTCACAAGTACTTAGTTGTCCCTACTCTTCATTGAGATTCAACAGATGCAGCCAGGATGTCTAATTTACTAACCACAGCCTAACAGTGAGTATTCCACAGGAATATGTAGTAGCTTTGGAAATAACAGTAAAAATAACTTAGTTTCAGTTTACATGTGGCCTCTGGGAATGGTTGTGAGAAGGAAGGGACTGCAAAGGGAGGAACAAAGTCCTCTAATTCAAAAATGAAACACACATATGCATGCATGAAATGAGACAAAATGAAATGAAGTGAAGTGAAATGAAATGGGGCCTCAGCATACAGAAAACACAGCCCAGCAAGGGCGTATCACTGAGGCACTGGAACACGGGGTGACAGAATGTCATCCCTCCGTCTCCCCCTCACTCTCATCATGTTTGCTCTCGTGGTCACACAGCTTTCAGATACTTTCCGCCCATAATCATGCTGCTTGGCCTGGCGGCTTCTCGTGGGCACAGTTTGTAACTACTTTGTTGAAAGCTCCATGAGCTGTGACTGGTTCAGGGAAACTGCAGGCATCTCAGGGTGTCAAGCAGAAGGCGGGTTGTGAGCAGTTCCAGTTCCGGGAAAGCCTGTGTGTGAATGAGCCTCCACTTGACATGGAGCGCTGGTTTAGAAGAAATAACCAGACATCGACACTTTCCTCCAGGGAAGAAGGTATGGAAATACTATGCTAAAAACTAAAAGAAGGCCACACAGCTTGAGTAATATGTTCACTAACAACATGTCATACAGGATAATGGCCCATTTTAATGCTATGAATTGAATTGTACCTGCAGGTGGTATTGACTGATGAGAGAAAGCCTCTGCGAGGACATTTGGGTGCTTCCTTTGTCCCTCTCGCATTGCTCTCCCCTATCTCTCAGGATGCAGCACATTTTGGTCATCCATTGAAAATGTGGCCACTTCATGAAAACATTCTGTTGAACAGTCTGAATCACATCGTGTCTTTCCTGGAGAATATCAGGAAACAAATTTATCTAAGGACCATTCTGCAAGACAGACTCACTACATAAATTAAGTTTGATAAGTAACGAGCAGCTGGGGGAAGAATATCACATCTGCCAGCCTCCTTGACTCCCTGGAATGGCAATGGCAGCCACAACGGGGGCTGAGCAGGAAGATGAGGGGCGTGGGTGCAGGAAGAAAGACAAGGCTGCTCTCCTTGAAACCCTCATGGCAGACGAGAGGCCTTTGACTTGGCAAGACCTGCCCCCAATTGATTCTTAACGTTATTCCAAGAGATCACCTTCGAGGTTGTACTTTCTTGGTTTATGTGAGAAATGCCCTATCATCCCCTTTTGGTCTTCCTGGGGGTCAAGGAATTTAAAGAGATCATAGATCAAAACCCTGTTGGACAACAACTAGCTCCTGAAGAACTGAGTGGGAAAAGTGTAGGCCTTGGAGGAGGAGGAGTGTGATGGGCACTGGGTTCCCTG